CCATTGTGCTATTATTTACACATAGCCTCCGAGCCCACAGCCGATACAAAATCAAGAAGTACTCCGCATGCTGTCTCTTATACACATCTAGATGTGTATAAGAGACAGTATATATTCTTACAGTGTATTATTATATTATATGACTATATTACATTTCTAGGCCTATTGTTATTTTTACACTAGAGATTTGAGCTACAGTATTGCCCAATACCGTAATTTAATGAAATTGATGATGTCGCGTAAAATTCAATTATACGCGGAGCAATGTCACCCATGAAAAGGTCAGGTCAGTCGCGCGTGACACGTCGATGATGGTGAGAAACCAATCAATTTTTTCATCGTTAAAGAGATCATTACAGTATACGAAAATACAAGGTATGCCGGGCTGTTTGTCATCTACACAATTCAACGTGAACAAGTCCTATTAACGTTTGAACATCTGAATTGTTTATTGTCCGAACCACCAGTAAATAGGCCTACTACTAGTACTAGCATGGAAAGTGGAACAGCACTCGATGTCACCACTGATGAAGAACAAACGTTGATGATGTTGGTAAGGCCTTCTTCCAATGTATTTTTCTGGTGAAAATGAAAACTGTACTTAGAAGAATAGAAGATTGTATGTATGATTAGGCGGAGCCATGGCATAAAGGCCTAGGCCTATAGTAGGCTATACATCGTTTAAACTATGACATAGATTACTATTTACCTATATACAGTATTTAATTTACTGAAGTTTCATTTCTGGATAATTAAGAAGGCTTATATTATTATTAAAGGTAGCTGGCTTGTTTGTATGCCTAGCCCTTGTAGGCCTATGCAATATTAATTAGGCCTAAGGCTGTCTATCTGAGAGACTAGCCTAGCCCTTTCCTTCCGTAGAGACAATTTTGCAATTCTGTCAATTTTTTTTTCTCCGTTTTCTTGCGAGTTCTCCATAAAATCCCACCTCTCCCTTCCTTTTTATGTTCAGATGGAAACAGATAAACAATGATACATAACGCCATAGGGTGGAGTTGATTGTGTGTGTGCTCGAAATTAGAGAAAAATCGAAATTATATACTAAGATTATCCAGGAAATCAGAGAAAACTCTAGTAATAATGACGTTCAGTGATTGGCCCCTATTCATTAGGCCATGGAGGTATTATAAGATTATGTATGTTATTATAAGATAATGTATGTTGTAAGTAGAATTCATGTAGTTAGAATTGTGTTTTTGTGATACCATATGTGCTTTCTAATATATTTATATTTATTTTTATACTGAAGTAGATTTGCAATAAGGAAGGAAAATTTCAGAATTGTACCTTGTATTTTTATGACAATAAAAGATCTGAATCTGTATCTGTAATAGTTGTTATAAGCGCCTCGAGATAGGTTTCGATGGGAAGTGCAAAATAATGACTTAATTTCAAATACTATTAATATTTGGAAAAAAACATCTGTTACTTATTTACAACAATGGTTTAAATATCAGAAATACACTAATAACAAATTAATGGCTTAAAAGTGTGAAGGTCAATGTACATGGCCCTACATAGTTGTATGACCTGCAATAATACTAACATTAGAGTATACCATCATCTTCATATCATATGCCATCACCCGCTCTGATTAGTACATTTTGTCGCCTGATCATTCCATGAATTCTATGTTGCTGATTACAACCGGTTCCTTAAATTGCTTTAAAATTCTAACGAATATCCCTCTCCCTGCTACCTCGTTGTTATTCGCCTTTCTTCTTTCTTTCAGTTGTCACCAATCCCTCATCTCCATTCTTTCACATCACATTACAGGGGCGTCGGAAGCTACTTTTATTGGTCCGTCCAAATACACACAATCATCATTGCATTAATATGACTTGTTTTTATTAGTTTTGTCTTTGAACATTTT